TTGTTTATTTGATAAACTTGGATAATAGCTTTCAGGCAGAGAATTAGCCATGTTTTTTAAAGCATGTATGCGTGTCAATGTGTTCGTTGGAGCTTGAAATATTTGTCAGAACCCGACGGGACTTGACAACAAGCACCTTGCTAGTTTTAGGCGTCCCTCAATGCCTTGGGCCGGGCTCAAATTTCATGTTCCGATTCCTACTTTTAACAGATTTGACCCCTGCTTTAGTTTTTCTCTTCACTTTATTCTTCCCCTCTACTTTTATTACCTTAAGGCAGGTTTTGGTAACAGTTTGTATGAATACCATGTCTATAAAAATCTATGAACACATTCATAACGTATCCTGCTGCATTCATAAGGCATCATTATCATGGCTGTAAATATATGGACAAAAACACATTACACTTCATAGCCATGTATATTATGCCTTATGCATTGTTAATATGATGATTTAATGAGTTGTATGCAAAAGTTGGGCACTCCAGTCAAATCACATGTTTTGCTGATTTGCTAAGTGAAAATAAGTAAACATCTTCTACATTTCTTCTAAGTTTAACATATAGGAAAAAAAACAAACATAAAATATTAAATGTGCCATTTCTTTTCCACAATTTTAGCCATATTTTCCAAAATGCTAAATAAACAGTAATTATGTATGAATTATGCATTGTGCACAAATGTGTTCTCTGTAGAAACTGTGTTAACTTACTTTTACTTAAATCAACAAAAGATGTAAAAACCTTTGCATACAACTACAAGTATTGTTTGGGGGGAGGGGCGTCCTGGGGGAGGGGCCTGGAGGGTGGTGCTAATATGACACTGAGAATCCAATGAAACACATGGCAAGCTGAAATCAGGATCATCTAAGTAGCGTTACAAAGGAAAGGAGACTTACAACGTGAAAGTGTCCATATTAAATTCTGCTTTATAGTCACACAAATGGCAAAAACGTCAAGAAAAGTTCATGAACTCCCTTGAATATCGTTCGTTATTTTGTATTGGTACAGATTGTGCTAGGTACGCTTACATGTGCTCAGACAGCTGGCTAGTGTTAGCTAGCTAGGCTAATGTTAACTAACTTTACCTCTAGTTAAGTATAAACTTGCTGCATTTACTCTGCTTCACAGATATTAATGCAGCTCAGCAGCTCTTTTAAATTTGAATAATGGAAAACTGAAAAATAAAATGAACTGCAGTGAAGATGATGGTACTTTTTTTTAGTAAAGCAATAAGCTTCACTCTTCACTCTAAAGTTGCAGTAAGGCACTGCCTTGAGTGGCTTATTGCTTTTATAAAATGGCAGCCAACATGAAACATGATTAAATAAACACTGTTTCAGAAAATTAACGTTATTATTAATAATAATCAACATCATCAAGTATTCCACCAAGAAAAGTATCATACATATTCTTTACAGTATATGTGTGTATAGTGAGTATGGTGGGCTTATTAGCATGTTTATTTGCCTCCTGGGTGAGCTGTTGTAAGTTTCTTCCAGTGCACAGACCACATTTGGGCCCGGAGACAGAAGCTGTGCACTCTTGGGCACCGCAGACATGTTTCTGCAGAGCGGCGATGAATAATTGAAGGAACAGAGCTGTGTACGGCAAGAGTGACTGTTCAAACCCCAAACCAAACAAAAGCAGCTCTCTCCGTCTGAGGCCAACAGCAGAGCAGAGACACAGAGGAGAGAGAGAGGGAAGAAAGACACCAGGAGGACGAGTTCAGGAGCAAGAGAAAGAAAGGCATGAAGAGAAGTTAAACCCAGGAGAGGTAAAGTCAAACTCTGTGTTTGTGTCTGTGCAGATCTGCAGCAAGAGTAGAATATGTTTAAAAACAGTTTTAAAGAGCAGCATTGGTGGTTTTGTGGATACTCTGAAAAAAAAGTGCACTGAATTTATTAAATTTGAATGTGTGCATTGTTTCCATGTATATTACACCAGTACAGTTACTGCCAAAAGTGAAGAAACTAAAGGACAAAGTTGTACAAAGGATACTTGAGTAAAGGCAAACGCAGTAAACAACGATGATGACTCGCAGAAACACTGGAATGCCCTGGAGTTTTGTTCATGTGAGCATTGCGTCCAGTTTTGTGAGTAAGTGAAGCGGTTAACAGCATCAGTTTATGGATAACAATGATTGCAAGGGCAGCGTAACAACACTAGATCTGTGGGTAAAAGACATAGTTTCATGGGAAAATAGCAACAGCGTAACGTAACAGTAGCAGTTTATGGTAACAGCAGTACTTTAGGGTCAACAGCTGTAGTTTATGGGTAACGACAGTCATTTTATGGGTAACAGCTGTAGTTTATGGGTAACGACAGTCATTTTATGAGTAACAACAGTAAATGTAAGTGTAACAGCAGACGTACCCATGTTATGGGTAATAGCAGTTAAGGGTTAGTTCATAGGTAACAGTTGTAGTTTAATGGAAACAGTGGTAGTTTATGGGTAACAGTAGTAGTTTATTGGTAACAGTGGGAGTTCATGGGTAACAGTAGTAGTTTATTGGTAACAGTGGGAGTTCATGGGTAACAGTAGTAGTTTATTGGTAACAGTGGTAGTTTATGGGTAATAGCAGTAGTTTGTTATTAACAGTGGTAATTTATTATTAACAGTAGTAGTATATTGGCAACAGTGATAGTTTAGGTATGACATTAGTAGTTTATTGGTAACAGTGGTAATTTACGGATAACAGTTGTAGTTTATTGGTAACAGTCATAGTTTATGGGTAACAGTGGTAGTTTAAGGGTAACAGTAATAGTTTATTGGTAACAGTAGTAGTTTATGGGTAACAGTTGTAATTTATTGGTAACAGTGGTAGTTTATAGGTAACAGTAGTAGTTTACTGGTAACAGTGGTAGTTTATTGGTAACAGTAGTAATTTATTGGTAACAGTGGTAGTTTATTGGTAACAGTAATAGTTTATTGGTAACAGTGGTAGTTTATGGGTAACAGTGATAGTTTATTGGTAACAGTGGTTATTTATGGTTAGCAGTAATAGCTTATTGGTAACAGCAGTAGTTTACGTGTAACAGTAGTAGTTTATGTGTAAAAGTAGTAGTTTATGGGTAACAGTAGTTGTTTATGGATAACAGTAGTAGTTTATTATTACCAATTGGTCTGATGGGTGTTTGTTTTGTTTATGTTTATATTGAGTAAAATAAATTCACAAATCTTTTTTTGAATCTACACATAGGTGATATAAACACACATATACATAAATGGAGGCATTACCTCCTAAAATATATGGACCTGTATAAGGGCCCACACATTAATTCCTCACTCTCATGGCTACGCAACACTATTTTTAAAGTAGTTACTGGTGGCATTGCTAAAAAAGAATGGTGTCATTTTATGTTGACACAAATTACTTCATACTCACAGCTCATTGACACAAGCAGAGAGATTCTGCTGAAAGTGCAGATTCAAAACTTTCTACCCATGCTGCAGAGAAGCAGGGAAGAGGTGAATGTGTGCAGTGCAGTGGTTCCCCAGGACTGGAGCCGATAACCACTGCTGTAGGCAACTTAGGGTTATTGCTTAGTAACTAAATGGACTGACAGAAGTGCATAATTGAAATGTGAACCTGGCAGAAGCTCCTGGACATTAAGGTGTTAATACAATTAATAACATTTATAATAAGTCTAGGGCTCAAGAGGTTAAAGGCAGGTGACACTTGGTGCACTAAGAAAGATACAGAAAGAGAAAGAATGAGAGTGAGAGAGAGAGACTGGGGGCGGCGTTGGCCGCATGTGTGTAAGTGTGTGATCATTAAAATAGTGTGTGTGTGTGTGTGTGTGTGTGTGTTGTCCCTGAGGCCAGACGACATGCCAGACTGACATTTAGCCTGTTTAACTCACTTCAGTGTCAACAGCGGAACAAATTAGAGGACACAGGAAGAGAACCAGAGAGAGAGGAAGAGAGAGAGGAGAGAGAGAAAGTCATGCCAATAAAGCTTTCTTGAACTTGAATTTGAGTGAGAGAGTGAGAGAGAGAGAGAGAGAGAGAGAGAGAGAGAGAGAATCATAATATCTTTGAATTTGAGTTGGAGAGGAGGAGAAGGAGAAAGAGAGAGAAAGAAAAGGTGAAAGAGAAGAAAAAGGCAGAAGGAGAGAGAGTGAGGGGAGAGAGAGAAAGAGACAGGGAGGGAGGGAGAGAGAGAAGAATAGAGAGAAAGAGAGAGAGACTGGGAGGGAGAGAGAGTGTAAGAGAGAGAAAGATCTCAGTAATAAAGCTATCTTTAAACTTGAGTGATAGAAAGGGAGAGAGAGAAAGAGAAAGGAGTGAGGAAGACAAAAAAGGGTGAAAGAGTGAAGGGGGGATCCTTTACCCTTCTATGTGTTGATTTAATTAATAACACACGGACAATAAGCCTAGAGTTCAAGAGGTTAAAGACAGGAGACAGAGACGTATATATATGTATAGAGAGAGAGAGACAGGGAAGAGAGAGAGTGAGAGAGACCAGGAAGAAAGAGAGAGAGAGTGAGAGACAGAGAAGGTGTGGGGGCAGAAAAAAAGAGAGCGAAAGAGAGCAGGGTAGAGAGTGAGAGAGAGAAATTCAAGCAAGAGGCACAAGAGGCAGAGAGATAGATAGAGAGGGTGATAAGTTTTCTGGAATCACTTTACAGAGAAACGTTAAATAACACAGCCGAAGGAAATGGCAGATAAGAGCGGAGGGAGGGATAAAGGAGAAAAAGAGAGTGCAGAAAAGAGGGAGGAGAGGAATGAGAGGTGAGTGGGATGAGAAAGGGATGTGGAAGACAGGGAGAAAAACGATATGCAAAGAAAGAGAGGACATAAGCAGCAATCCATATCACGCCAGCAGCGCTGATCCGAAAATAGAACCTTACCATGACCTTGTCACACACACGCACACACACGCACACACACACACACACACACACACACACACACACACAGTGTATCACACAGAGAGAGCACACACAGATGACCTGTACACTGTCATTAGTAACAACAGAACACAATATGAGACTTACTTTTTATAGAGCACTTGTCCAACAGCAGCTTACATCAGAACAGTCCTGAACAGAGCCGTAGAATTCCAACCGCACAATTCCAGCCACAGAATTCCAGAAAAATCCAGGAAGAGTGTGTACTGCACACGTGTGTGTGAGCATGTGTGAGTGTGTTTTCCTCACATGCCTGAATGACAGGGATGTGTGAACATGTGAAAAGGGCAGAATTCGACACCCACGAGACAAGCAGCCAATCAGAACGCACCACAACCGGCAATCGGGACTCTCTCTCTCTCTTTCTCTCTTGTTCTCTCCAAGTCTCTACTTTTAGTCTCTCTCTTTCTCTCTCTCTTGCTGTCTGCCACTTTATCTGTCTGCTCCTCTTCACTTTTTCTCTCTCTCCTCTTTCTGTCTATCTCTCTCTCTCTTTTCTCTCTTTTTTGTTCTCTCTTTTCTGTTTCTCTCTCTCCTGCACACTCGATTTTTTCTCTCACTCTACACTTTTATCTCTTTTTCTGTCTCCTCTGTTTTTTCTCTCTCTCACTGACCCTTTCTCAGACTTTGTCTATCTCTCTTTCTCTCTTTCTTTCTCTACACTTCTCACTTTCAGTCTCTCTCTATCTTCCTTGCTCTCTGTCAATTTTCCTCTCTGCTCTTCTCCCCGTCCTCTCTCCCTTTCTCTCCCCTTTTTCTCTATTTCTTTCTCTCTCTTTCGTGCTCTTCACTTGTATACTTCCTCTCCTTCTCTTTTTTCTCTCAGTGATTCGGTTTCTCCTTCTTTCTCTCTTTCTTGTTCTCTCTTCTCTGTTTCTCTTTCTCCTACACCCTCGATTTTTCTTTCTGTCTCTACACTTTTTCCTCTCTGTTTTTTTGTCTCCTCTGTTTCTTTCTCTCACTCGCTGGACGCTTTCTCAGCCTTTATCTATCTCTTCGGTTTCTTTCTCCCTCTCTCCGTCTAAATTTTCTTTATCTCTTTGTCCTCTCTCTCTCTTTCTCTCTCTCTCTCTATCTCTATTTCTGTTGCTCTCTACTTTTTCTGTCTTTGTCCCTCTCTCTCTTACTTTCTCTCGCAGTTGCTCTCTTTCTCTCTCTCTCTCTCACTCACTCATGCTTTGTCTCTCACTCACTCATGCTCTTTCTCTTCCACTCTAACTCTCTCTCACTCCATCGCACCTGTTTTCTCTCTCTCTTAGCCTTCGAGGAGTGTGTGTGTGTGTGTTTGTGTGTGTGTGTGGTGATAATGGAAGACTGTCCATCACGTAGAGGATGACCCAGATTCAGCACGAGACAGCGAGGGATAAGAGTGAGGAAGAGGAGGGGTACGGGGGAGGAAGAACAAGGAGACATGGATGAAAAGAAAAAGAGAGGGAAAGAAAAGAAAAGGAGGGAGTGGATGTCAGCCATGCTGGGGTGATTGGATTAGACTGCCTGACCACAGTGCCTCCGAACGAGTCTTTTAAGCAGACAGAAAAAAGTGATAGACACTGAGAAGGACAGAGAGAGACAGAGAGAGAGTGAGAGTGAGAGAGAAAGACTGATTCACTCTATAGCTCTCCTGCAACACAGCGCCTCATAGTGGCATCTGATCATGCAGTAACGTTTTAGAGCTGTACTGATTACTCAGTTAAATAAAACTACCTTCTCAACGACTTTGCACTGATAATTTTCATGAAGATAATGCACACATATGTTCTCCTACTGCTCCCTCCGTAAGAGACAGAGACTGATGGACCCATAATTCTTTGCAACACCGTATCTCAACTCCTTAACAAGCCATGGACCCGCCCACCCAAAGTTTCATTACACACTTAAGAATACCTCAACAAGCTTGCACTGAAGTCCCTGTAGTTACTGAATAATAAGGCTTAGTATGCAATAAGCCTGGGATTTTAACCAACTACAGGCACATGAAGCATTCATGATACACCCATTAACCACACCATAACACTTTATTATAATCATAATCATTTTGAAATGTTATTAAATGCATTTGTTAATTATTAATACATGTATAAAGTAATAAATTGAAAACTCGCTCAGCAAAGCTTCGCATAAACTTCATGATATGTTCATGAATGCAGTTAAATGCACATTCCTTCTTTTCAAGGAACAAATACAATAATAAGCACATGATACAAAACAGCACAAATAAATGACACTAATTATTCTTGTACATTACACGAAAATTTTGCAGGCTTGCAGTTACTTTTAATAACTTGCTCATGATACTATATTATTCAAGCTCAATAAGAGCTCAGTAAGACTTCTGAATGCTAAATCACATAAACATTTTGAACATTAATGAATATAATCTGGGTTTATCTTGTGTAGGCTGACCATGTACACAAGATCATAGGCTGTTTATTCCCTAAACAGATTTGAATTTACTCACAAACATATCATTAAGTGTACACCAAGCACCAGAGTCTGTTCTCAATCCATTACATTAAATGTTCATTACTCATTAATGAATGTATTTAATGAATGTTTCTGAATGATCATATGATTGTAAAGGAGCATTACTGCATGGCTCATGAATATACCATGAATACTTGTTAATAAAGCCTTTTGAGATGTAATTTTTTAAGATGTTTATTAGATTTATTCATGTATCCTTTTACAACACATATTCTGGAATGTTATTGTTCAGTTAAGCCTGTTTTTATTATCTTCCCTTTTTCAGAGCTCTGTTTCCTCATTTAACCCTATCAAACCGAAGAGTCTTGCGGAGAGTTGTTTATTGAATCTCTCTGTAGAATTCCCCTCACAGCACTAATCAAATGTAGCTGATGCAAAATGCAAATGACTCTGTAAATCAGGCTGTAGTTTTAGCTTTGGGTGTGGTTTAACCACGGACTTTGTTGCCCTCGAGACAGCGATGAGTGTTAAGGGAGAAATTTTCCATGGTGAATGTATAGTTTATATAGAGATGCAAATGTGCTGTTATTTGGCTTAGCTTGTGGATTTTTGATCAATGCTACCTTGCTATTGTGGGACTACTCCACCTGCACATTGGCCTCCATTATAAGTGTATTTTAAGTCAACAAGTCCTCGTTTCTAAGTATAGGAAAATAACTGTTCACAGTAATTGACTGTACACTACAGATATGGAAAATTAGGCGAAAAAGTCCAGGGTATACCTTTTAACTATAACTGGAAAAAAAAACAGCATTTTAACCACTGAGAGCACTACAGAAAGGGAGGGCTACACAGAGGAAAGGAGAGAGAATGAAGGTGAGAGACACAGAGAGGCAGGAGTTCTCAAGCTCAGCAGAATGAATTAGTGGAGCCAACACCATTCAGCACATAGACAGCGCCACCACTGCCAACACAGTCGACACACAGTTCAGCACCATGCACAGCTCCGATTCACTCTGCCTTCCTGCAGCTATAGAGTCATAAACCTTCAGCACCATGGACAGCACAACTGCTACACGTAATCAGCAGATGGTCTGAATCCAATTCTTGCTCATGCGAGTCCTTATTTTTACTCTGCTGTAGCACTCATCTCAACCAGGTAGCCAAGAACTCTAGTCCTTGATTCCAGTACTATAATTCTCACACTTTAATACTCTTCAGCTGCACATGTTTATTTTGTTTTCATTTAGAGAATACTAGAATAGTTTTTTGTAGAAAACGTTATTCTTTACAGTCTATATGTGTAACTGAGGTCTCAACAGGCTTGTTTAACGGCTTAAAATCCCAGGCTTATTATTACACAATAAGGTTTATTATTCAGTAACTACAGGGACTTCAATACAAACTGGTTTAGCTGTGCGTTTAGGTCAACTTTAGGCCATGTAAGAGGTTAAAAACACTTATGATAGTACTGTTTTTAACATGCCCTCACCATAATAAGGGCTACTTCATGACTGTATTACTTTACATAAAGTTGTTAGATGATTCCTTTGGAAGGGTGAAAAGTTGGGTTAATATAAATATAGCAGAACTTGCTCAGAAATCTTTGGCTACTTTCATATAGCAGGTAAAAGTGGCCCAAATCTGATTTCTCACCAAATCTGATTTTTTTGTTTGTCTGTTCACAATATCTTTTAAATGTTTCCTGTACGGGACCCGCATGAGCAAAAGAACAACACTTCACATTGCTTTATGTGGCTCATCCAGAGGTAAACAATCGCAACGGCCAACAAACGCCAGTCGCTCCCGGAGGGTTCAGCTTCAGCTTAGCCAGCATCACAGGAGCCATCATGAAGCTTAACTGACTGACAGTTGGGCTTATCACCCAGAATGTTTTTGAGCTCGCCGTAAAAAGGGCGTGGTCACTCCTTTGGTTTGACGCTGCAGCCTCGCTCTCCAATGGCCATTTCTCTCGAAATCTCTTCGAACACGGAGGGTTTTGTATGAATCTCTTCTAATTTTTTGTAAAGAAACATCTGCCCAAACGCGTATGAGGTCTCAGCAGCGTGAAATGATAATAAATGTTAAGCTGGACTGACGTAAAAGCCGCATGAATTCTGATCTGGCTGTTCGGACTGAGTCGCATTGCCACATATCGGATACGTATCAGATTTCAGTACCACATATGAAAGCATCTCAGATCAGAATTGAAAATGTCAGATTCAGGATGTTTTTGCTGTTCACACTGACACACAGGCAACACATCTGTGTCACATATGCAGAAAAAGATTTGGGCCACTTTTACCTGCTGTGCAAACAAAGTGTAATCTGATGCAATTTTTCTTCCAAACTTGCCACACAACATTACATATAAAGTGTCACAATTACTTAAAATGCTTAATGTTTAAAAACTGCCATTCAACTTGATACGTTTAAAGGTTCAGGTAGCAAATCTTTCCATTTGTTATACATGACTGAGGAGACTTTGTTAGTTACATTACTCTGCTAGCTTGCTAGTCAGAAAGCATAGAACTAGACAGCAAAACAATAAAAAGAATGACAGTGTTAAAAATTCAAAGTTATTACAAATTAGAATTTATAACAAAAGTCTTATGATTTGAAACCACAACCTTCCAGTTACCGGCCCATCTTTTCTACCACTACCTTGCTGGTCATCCATTAGATCAGTGCTTTACCTCCATTTAATATATACATGTTTCCATTGATGATGAAGCCCTTAATAAA